AGATGACTATTATGAATGGGAAATAGATGGGAAAATTGAGAATCGCTACAATACGGGAACTGTTTACACTCTCCTACGGGAACAATTACCTTTGGTAAACTGGAGCAGGGCCGTTTGGATTAAAGGGGGGGTTCCTCGGCAAAGTTTCCTCTGTTGGTTGTTTGTGCTTAATCGATGTCCCACAAAGGATAGGATACTTGGATGGGGTCTACAAACAGATCCTAAATGCTTGTTGTGCGCTAATCTACCAGAGAGTAGAGACCACTTGCTATTCGTCTACGGATTCAGTTGGTCTATATGGAGCCGTGTGGCTTCACGTTCTCAAACAATAGCACATAGGGACTGGGCTTCAACAATCAGTACCATGCAATAATTAAGAGGACCAAGAGAAAATACGAGACTGTCTCTCCTTGCCTGGCAAACAACGATCTACAACATTTGAACGGAGAGGAACCAAAGACTCCATCGGAACACTTTCCGATCGGTTGACTCGATTTTGCAGATCATAGACTCAACAATCCGGAATAGAATATCTGGCTTCAGAGACACAAATCCTAATTTGCGCTCTGGCATGATGCAAAGATGGCTAAGGAATCATTGATCTCACTATTACTCGATCGGAGACTCTGTAAACGGGAACTGGTGAACGATTCAACTTTCAGCAACAAGACAACATTTAATCGGTTCAAACTTGGGTTTCTTTCTTGTATTATTAAACATGGGCCACTAAATGTAGTTGGGCTTCCGTAACAACACTAGTCCATGGGACTTGTATGTTTTCTTTTTCTTTTTTTTTATGCATTCAATAGAAAGCCCTTTTTCAAAAAAAAATATTTTATATCCTTTCTTTCCTTTTTTTTCAACATTAAAATATTGTTCGTTTCGTAAATAGTTTTTACACTTGGAATTTGTTCATAAAATCGTTTCGTAAATAGTTTTTGCACTAGGAATTTGTTTATAAAAACATGGATGCAAAATTGTATAGAAAAAATTTTCATATGGCCAGTTGAAATAGTGTTATGTTTTAGATCCGTTAGAAAATTTGTGATTAGACCACTCGATGGTTCTATTCACTTTTGAGAATCAGTCGAATAGTAAAAAATTTGGTTCACTCCTAATTATATAAAAAAATTGTAGTAAAAGACAAAAAAAACAAACACAACTTTAAATTAACTTTTCTTTTATTGTCAAACTAGTTTTACAAGGAAATAACTTCAATTCATTTTTAAATTAAATTTGATTTTAGGATGAAAACACCAACAAGGTGATAAAAAATATTTTTTATTTGATAAAACTGTTTAACATAGAAATAAATTCTATAAATTAATTACGTTTACCATATTGGAACCTAAAAAAATAAAAAATACAAT